TCAGGAACTATACCGCACCACCAATCAGCCCCTCAACCTACTGAGCCCCTCAACAGCACACGCACCACTCGGACTTAAACACAGTCACACTAGGCTAGGTGACTTTAACCCTTGCACAGGATTCTTGACCCTTACCTCAGGATCAGCCCTTTTTCAGGACGACTGGTTCTAGCCTACGCGCGCCTTTTATAGCTTTCGCGCTGCTCTGACCACGCCCGCGCACGCGCTCACGTGACTAAGCAGTGACTTCCGCTGCCCTATCGCACAACGCACAAGGCGGAGCCTATGCGCCGCGCTTGCTTAACACACAGCTATGCGCGCCTAACATCTGCCTCTGTTACTGGGCAGAGCGCCGTCTATATCTTTGCACCGTGCCTAGTGACTAGCGCCCTCTGTCACGTCACACTATTCCTTCACTGTGAATTTATGTGAGGCACATTCCCTCTCAAGCGCTTCATGTGGCCGGAAATAAAATGTTCACGCGCACGCGCAATGACCTACGTTTTTCGGCTTGATCTCAAGTCGTTACTCAGCCGGGCAGTTTTTGCACACCGCGGGAGTGCAACGTTAAAAAGCTGTGTCTCTAGCCGAGCAACTTCTCTTGCTACCTGGCTTGCTGGGAAAAAAAAATCGCGGCAATATCTGCGACCGGAGATACAAGTCGTGAATTTGGTCGCAAATAACGGTCTTCAGTATTTGTGACTGAAGAGCAAGTCGTAAATTTTGGTTGCAAATATTGACGGCAATATTTGCAACCAGAGAGCGAGTCGTGAATGTGGTTGCAAATATTGACGTTAATATTGACGATTGGTGATGTCCCTCCATGCAGGGCCACCATAGTTTAGCCTCCTGTTTGACGATGCCATTTGATATCGTGAATGCGATAACATTGAACAGTGCCGTTTGTTCTCATCTGTGATTTTCCTAGTTTTCTTGAATATCCTTTGGTGATTGTTCGTTGTTTCCCATTGGTACCAGTACAAAAACAAAGGGTAAACATTCTAATTTTGTCTCTCAGTCCCACGATCAAAATTAGAGAGGACATGCGAGTTAACATCCAAGCCCCCGCCAGCCCCGCACCGTAGGGACCTTTGAGCACATATAACGTGATAACATTTAAGTAACTACTGTTTCTCTAATCAAGGAAAATGAATGATCGCGAAGACTGATTATGTTGAGCCCCATAAAGCCAACCAAGCATTTTACGGGAAGGAGCGCGACCAACGTGGCCTACCATACTTTGAGATAAACTAATTTGGGCATAATTCTTTTTTTTTTTCAAATGTCTCTTCCAAACTTATTACCACGTTCTCACCTTTTCTCCTTTTTTGGGGGGGAGGGAGCGGCGGAGCAGGTAACTGGAAGACTTGGAGGCGTAATTCCTTAAAGAAACTTGTAAAGGCGGATGAAAACTCCCCTTTATCATGGGAGTTTATACATTAATAGGTATATAAGGACACATTTTATAGATAATCTGGTTATTAACAAATAATGAGTAAAACATTCACGGACGAATTCCAATTTACTAATTTCTCTTTCCTACAACATGTGGTGACAGTATTGTCAATGCAATTCAGAATGAACAAAATGAGTTTACACTGGAACTGATGATGCAACAAGAACCGGTTAATTATGTGAGTTGTTTCATTCACACTTCCGGTATTTAATTCCTCGTAAAGCATAAGGATACAGCATTAATTTGACTTCACTTGATAACTTGATGGCAACACAAAAGACGACACAGCCAAAAGATAAAATAAAAAAGAATTTAAAACATGTATTAAAAATGATATCCTGAGCAATGTTTGTTCCCTCGCAAGGAAAGAAAGTGTTGAAAGGATTGATTGCATAAAGTTAAACCTATCTACTTATCACGTTTATCACTATTCCTCAGTAACAATTTCTAAAATCAATTACACAATGGGCTACAATTTAATAATATCGTCAAGCTATACTTATAATTTCACCTATCACACATAGAGCTGTATCGATTATTTGCATAGTCGATGGTTGATCAAATATTCATTCAATGGTTTGCCGAAATTCAAATGTTTGTTTTCAAAGTCAATTGTACTCGGAGGTGCAAATAAAAAAGGACAGGTTCAAGTAAAGTGTGGTTTACAAGATTTTACATTCTAAAAGCATATTTCAAGATATTATACAAGTAAAACTACAGATAGCTGAATGCATGCCCCAAATAGACGGCAATTTCTTTCCTTCATGTTTGTTGTAAAAAACAAATAGGCGTATTTTTCAGTGTGCGTATTTGTTCCGATTTAATACGACCACATTTCAAATATTCGATCGAATGGAAGGTCCAATATTCAATTGTTTGAAATGAATCGACCGTTACATACATACACTTTTATTTGAAACGCTGCCGAATGCATAGACTGCACAATGGGACACTTGTGGTGGGAACATGGCCAAATATCGCTGAAGTGCACCAAAGATGAGTGATAAAACAGTGTTTTTCTGTTACAGCCGACACACTAAAAAAGAAATAAAAATTAAATATACAATAAATCACGGAACGATAAAATTCTCAGCACCATGCAACTTTCTCCTTTGTCCTTGCATCACTCGGAAGTTGAAACCTGGTCGTTGCTGTTACTAGTGTGGTTGAGTTATCGTAGTACTGGATTGATTACCGTATGACTGTCATTAGCAAGAAGAAAAGGGAAAAAGAGGAGAATATTCAAAACAGTCCTCACGAGTTGAAATGTAGGCCTACTGGTAACATTTTGGAACCTACCCACAAGAGAAGTTTCCTGAAGTTTAAGCCCCTTCCATTTCTTGGAAAAGTTGATCATTAACTTTTAGAGTAGTAAAATTGCTCATCCAATACTTTGCTGTATTTTACTCCAAAGTACGAGCAAGTGGACGAATAGTGGAACATTATCAAATAGATTAAGGTATTTAAGACACTTGAGGCTTCCTATTTTGATGTTCTTTTTAATGATGACGATAAGAATTTCTTTTTGTGGACAGCTTAGTTAAATCTGTCACCAACATCACCACCTGGCAATACAAACAATAAACAGGCAGGGGAAGGTTCAAAAGAAACCCAAATCCAAAACAAACTTACTTCGATACGGCAGAATCCATTCTCACGTATCTGGTGTCAGCAGCAGCAACATTTCTTTTTCTACAATAAAAAAATTGATAAATTGAAGTTCCAATTAAAATTGGGTTGCAAAAAAGGCAGAACATTCAACCTGAGTGAGTCAAAAAAGGAAAAAATGAAATTTTATTATTCATTTGGAATATAATAATGGGTACAACCATCTAAAAAATTGATGAACACCAGCTGAAAAACAAATCGTTCTGACGTGCGGCAGTAAACAATTCTGAAAATGGCCTTAAACACCTGTGATGTGGGCTTACTGTAAATAAAACAGAATCTCCCGACATTTCTCTCTGGACTTCAAGTTTTTGACATATGGGCCTATTTAGTTCAAGAAATGGTAAAGCGCAAAATTTCAAGCGCACAAAATGTAAAGTAATCGTTGGTTGTATGTACAAGGAGGGAGCTGCGGCTGTTGACATTCAAAATTTAGGGCTCTGCAATCTTTCTGCAACACGTCATTGTATGCATTAAATGTAACAGAGCATGACTGGTAAACATCCGAACTACCAGTCACCTTTAGTGAACTGTTATGATAATCATTTTACTTCCCGTCGTCGCTTTTCCCAACTAAACAATACACCACCCACAAGCGCTGTATGCTTCCTCCACTGAACGCCACAAGAAATATATTATAATGCATAAATACGGCCTTGAATCTGTAATGCTGCGGTAAATATGCATGTACATGTACAACACACACGGGCCTAATAATTCACAACAGCTAGCGATTATAAATCCTTTCGGCAGTGAAATAAAGAGCGGCAAATATTTCGAGTTTGTGGAAAATACAGGTACATCAATAAGGTCCATGAAATGCTCCAAATTAACTGCTGGGGTTTTCGGCTCTCGACATAGACGCTAACCATCTCTCTTCGCCTATTTTTTTTCGTAGTTTGATAGTTACATGATTAACCCGTACATTTTTCTGAGGCGCAGTCACAAATTCCCTCATAGCACAAGGGCTGTGAAAGCGTCCACTCTGAAAAAAAATGTTAGACGCTTATTTCAAATTGGACAACGGACTACTCAATCTGATTACATACAATGCATGGGCGCGCCCAATTCGCTACATAATGTTATGCAGATCTGAAGAATGTTATTTGTTTTTGTGAGGCGGAATGTAAACCCACTGTGCTCTGGCCATGGCCTCTGAGGATTGCTCTATGGTTGTAGCTCACAGCAGTAACGTACGTGTATCTTACGCCTAGCGCCGCCGGGCGCGGCATGGAATCGTCTTGGGAAAGGCTACTGGTACCAAACCGGGGGGGGGTCTCATGAGCACGCTGACACAGAACTTAATGGGCATAAGAGGAAGGGAGGGACAACTATCACGGAATGATCATTCGTTCTACCCACATCCTGGCATTGACTTACCTGGCCTGGTAGCCGCGGCTTCATGCACGGACAGCAGCAAGCGAAACATCGCAGTAAACACAGCTTGCACTTGCTGGGCCTTTTCACCTTTGGAACGGAGATTTCAGGCATTTTGATGTCTCTGGTGTGACCACGCTTCTACTACGAGCTAACCCGGCACTCAATGCAATTATCTGCAACTGATGAAAGTGCAAACTGCAAATTTTACTGGGCTGAAAAAATCGATAATGCAGTCTGCCTATACGTACAGATGGAGGACTTCAGAACATCAGCCGTGCTCACACAGATGCCGCAGGAAATGATAATGCTCACTCACACCCGCGCAACAGGCCGATGTTGTATATGTAGGTCTACGTATCCCGTGCGGGTATGGTGCGCAGGGCCACTTATTCACTGTTATCGACCAAATTTGACTGATGACTAATTTTGTTGTCTACAGAAATGAACTAACGCAAGCTTACGATTGGTGGACAAAGCAGCTTTACTCCAGTTGCGTTTTAAGTCTGTGTTTTCCCCTAACAGTCTTTGGCTAAAAATGTGTAGGCTGTTTGGTTTAACGTGGGCGTAACTGTATTAAAACAAATAAATGGGCAGCAATCCGCCTTGAGCAGAAGCACCCCCTCATCCGTTGAAGAGAGCAATATTGGTTAGTATTCACTTTGTTGGTAGCGATGGAACGGCATCTGCTCTTCCGCCAGCGCTCTTGGAACTTTTCCAAGAACAAAATATTGCAATTCCCTTACTCTGAAGCTGTAACTGACGTAGCGAATGACCAAGTGACTACTTGTATATTATAGACAGAAAACCTACCAGAACTGAATTAAAATATGGAATTTGTCCAGTGAAGGTATTTGAGTCAACTAGTTAAAGTTACCACGGTCAGGTCCATAGAGGTCCACAAAGGTCAAAAGAAGATTTGATACTCGCAAGTCACATGTTGGTCAATTTCAGACCAAATAGTTCTGGATATATACAATACACGAGTCAAGTCAACAAAAACTGATTTAAATGACATTATTAAACAACTACCAAGCAATCCAACTTCACATAGCCAATCACAGGGCAAAGCCACCAGCCCTTCCCAGTGCCCTCTTCGGGCTCTGCCAGGGCGTCGAGCGAGGTAGGCCTATATGTGGATGCAACGTTTGTGAATCAGCGGTGAGCAGTTCCTACCAAACGAGCATCCGTTGCTATCGCCTCATTCCGCCCTCTCTTTGTCCAGCTTGGGGCCATAGCATTATCAAGGAAACTTAGGGAAACCGAGGGGGTCAGGTGGTTCGTGCAACGGAGTAAGATACTGTCTTGAGTAACCTGGCTTCTGTAATTTTGGTGCACAAAATAATACAAGGTTCAGAGAACTAAATGGCGCTTAGACAGTTGCACTTTTACACCTGCAAGCGGGAGGTCGTGGGTTCGAGCACCGTGCCGTAGGCCGACATGGGAGCTTAATTGTGAGTTTTGTCACAGCTCTCGGTGAAACACTGATATATTACACTGGTGAGAGGCCGGCTTTGCCTGACGTAAAATCCATCAACAATCACTTAACAAAACAAGGCGTGATGGCCATAATTGGAGGTACATGTACCAGCCTCTCCAATTTGTGCCTTTCTCAGGACACAAATTGGAAAGGTAGGTCTTTGGTTGGTTGGTTGTTTGGTTATTTGCTTTGCCCCTTTTAGCAATCTTTTTACGCTTCCCTTCCCTTTAAAGCCCTGGGCCATTTCATTGCTAACAAATGCGTGCAAGCAAAAAGTAAGTAACTTGCCAAATTTCCACAGGGAGCAGTTGAGCAAATAAAAAGAAAAACGAACGCTAAATACGAACATCGATCTGCTATAACCAACAATCCGGGTACACCGAGCATGCCCCTTGGCTTCCTTTGTGCATTTTCACCGAATCATGAAATTTGCTTGAACTAAAGGAAACAAATTTTGATAGTAATGATGATAATGATTCCAAAGTTAAAGACAATCGTTCTCGCATAGTTCTTGGGTACGCTTATATGGTGTGCAGTATAATCTCTTTGCGTTGTGCACTGGCGAATGGCGAGGTGGACCGATCACAGAAGTCATGAAATATCCAAGAGGGAAAATGTACATGTAGATTCCGATTTAGCCCTCTTAGTGGACAGCAGGAATTTGATACAATGCAAAGTTGCACTTCGCTCTTCGTACCAGAGTTAAGTCCTATTCTTAAAAAGAGCCAGGGTTTGGAATCCCCTCAACATATTTTCTGATATCGTTGCGGGGCATTTTTTTCTCGAGTATAATGGGGTAATTTTGATACCATTTGTTTTTCCAATTTTTTTTTAATGTAGCATTTTCTTCCTGGAATGGCACCACAGTTTTGCTCATGAATATGGAAGTATTCAGCCCAAGAAAAAGAAACAAAATTGGGAGCAAACTACTCTTTTAAACACAGCAGTGCATCCAGCAAGGGAGGGTAGGCCCCCCATGGATATTTGGGGCGGGGGTTCAACTGAGATTACTTCATTTGCGAGTAGGACAGAAACTAATCTGTGTATTTATTTATCTGATAAATAGGCTTCACATGTATATTTGTTCTCCCCCATTATCATGTTGAATGAACCCGAAAGCGCATTTTTTTTTTAAATTTCCCCCTCCCCTCACACCTAAAGCTGGATAGTCACTGATGGAACAAACGTTGAAACCGAGGTCTATAGCTGCAACACAAAAGTGCATTTTGGAGGTTTGCGTTACAAAATTTGTTTATGTATAGTAAAAAAAAACTGCAGTGCAGTGACCCATAGAATAATAATAATGTCCCTTTTTTCACAGTATTTATTGTATTAGAAGGCATGAAGCATATATTTATATCCTGAGTATGCAATGTTACACGTTTCAATCGATCCTTCGATTAATTGCCTCCTTTTCTGCAATAACACTTTCAATCATTTGGACACTGGTTTTTTTCCTTTGGGGGAGGGGGCAAGTAACGTTCAATCAACAATTGAAGAAAAGCAGGCAGCTTGAGATCACAGGAGATATATTTCATTTTGCATTTATCTCACACTTTTTAACCTGAAGCTGTCTGCCATTTATGCTCAAGGAAGTTATGGACCATTCTCTGGTACCTTCTGAAAGGAAACAGTCATTCTAACAATGTGGCATTCTAATTAATCAAAAGAAGAAATACAATGTAATAGACATCAGTCTAATATAAAGATGAAGCGTACAAGCCCATTAAATCCTAGAAAGATCCTTTCACATGCCTCCCGTCACCTTGAATAATCATGGAGGTCACCCATTTGGGGTGATTTTGCCTCCAACGTTGACTGCTTTCAGTCAGTTACATCAAAGCAAAGACCTTGGATCACTTCCTCCATCCCTCATCCAGCCTCGGGTTCTTCGGCATTTAACCCTCAGAGGTATCAAGGTGGGAACCCTGCCGGCCCACCTTGCATCTCAGGAATGAGCGGCATCATAGCAAAGAACTTAAATCTCTCGCCCATTTGTGCTGGGTCTGTCAGCATCTTGTAACCACTGAGCAGGCTACTCCTCTGCTTGCCGGAGGCATTCTTCAGTAGCATCTATCAAAACAAAAATGCATGATCCAACCAACTGCATCTCAGCCTAAATCTTAACACACGATGACCTTCATTGAAGTAATGTGACATGTCCAATTGTTTAAATGCAAAACAAAGATACATGTGTGTCAGATTAATACAACTTGGTCCAGCAGAAAAATCTCGGTAGTGGTTAAGATTATGAATTACACTAGTCATCTAAACAAGCATTGATGATAATGTTACAATATGGCCACAAAACAGGGAAAATGGGACCAAATGAACCAACAAGTGTAAACAGGATGTTCATGTACTGCATACAGGGAAATAGGTACTTCTAAATTAGCCAGTACTGGATGACACCACTGCACAAAGAGAACGGAGTTTACAGGAAAAACCTCATATTAATCATGAATAAATGTGGATATTCAAGAAATTACCCCATCAACTGGTGCTGGAGATCTGAGTTTTAAATTTATTAAAAGCACAACTACAGCAAATTGCAGTGTGGGTGATAGCAGCGCTTTAAAACAGAAGAATTTTATGAAGTGGCACAACAACGGTGGCAAAAAATTTTCTCAGCTATCATAAAATGTATTTAAGAAATACTGGGTGAACATTACCTGTAGTCTTGTCTCAATACCCATTGCCTTTAAGAATGACTGTTGAGTAACAGGTCCATAAGGGGAAACTGAAATAAAAGGAACAGAGCTCAGCTTTTAGAAAAGAAAGTTGCTGTGGCAGAAACCATGATGATTCCAAACTCACCAGGTCTTTCTGAACATATACAACCTACAAAATCCTCCAAATGCCTCCAAGTAACAATTGGACGCAGCCTAAATCTTTCATCATTCTGCATAGTTTCTTGACTGCATCCCTTGGAGGTGTGCTGTGATCCGTGATCCTTCGAAATCCTCAGCAACCACTGTCAACACGCATGTCATGGACCAGTACAAAATCCTTTCGAGTATAATCTAGGCCGGTCGCCATACATGGCTGAGCATATCCAACACAACGCCTAACCTTGGCACCGCACATCTTTTGAAATTAACAGCAAATTTTGCCACACAGTCCAAACCCTTTGAAATCCTCCCCTTGTGAAGGAAGGATTTGGAAAAGTTATGGTTATTATCGGTAAACAAATTTCACATTTGGTAGAATTTTCAGAAATGCTCCACTTCAGTCATTCACCACTTGGAAAATACTCCTTAATTTGACAATTCCTCAACAGGCTAATGCCATGTATAAGATTAATGCCAATATTTTAAACAAATTCTCACATTTACCATTCATTACCTTTCTTGTGTTGATAATCATTCAAGCCAATTATTTACACTGAAGGTCATCAATCCTCCAAGACATGACAGATTGAGGAATGTTAATGCCAATGAATATTATGTAAGTACCTTTGTTTTGAACTATTCGACGGAAATATGAGAAGTCAACATCGGCAGTGAGATCTGCAGTACCAGGTTCACAAAGCACATCATGTAGTTGGTGATTCTTGAATCCCTGAAAGGATACAAAACAGAAATGCATACATAATATACACTAAAAAAAATCTTAGGAGGGAATTACCTACATATGCATGAGGAACTACCGAAAATGCATGACTCTTGATTTAACATGCATGTGTAATTTGATTGAGTGAGCTGGCTAAGTTTGACAGAGCAATTTCCGTTATGTTCAGACAAATGTTTAGAAAACTGTTGAAAATCTAACCATATCCTGTTTTGTTTCAGATACTGATCTTTATTGTCACTACATTTCACATCCTTAAAAAATTAGCCTAAAGGTAAAAGTCTCCCAGTAACATTTCTGTGCAGTATGCTCACACTTATATGTCAAACACTTTTTGTTAGCTGTTTTTACTTGTAAGTCACCTAATCTACCTGTTGCTAACAGTCTATCCAATGTGCCATGCATGAATTTCAGGCAAAAAAAGCTGGAAGAAATCTAGTAAGAGACTTTTCTGAACCAGTATTCAGTCATAACATCCAAAACAGATCCAACATAAAAAGATGCATACAAATGTCAACACTGATTTGTTATTTTTTAGGGGGGAAGGGTTAATATTGAAACAGAGTGGTAATGAATTTGAATACACACCCTTAGCGTGTCAGCCTTGGTCCCATCATGTCCGTAATCAATGACGAGACTCATTCCACCATGCTGTGATATCCTGTGGGCCATCTCTTCTACAATCACACCTCCCTCTGGGCAAACTTCGATGTGATCTCTGCTATCACTGTCCTATGACAGAGGACAACAAGGGATAGCATGATTCAATCAGCTATCTCTTCTACAATCACACCTCCCTCTGGGCAAACTTCGATGTGATCTCTGCTATCACTGTCCTATGACAGAGGACAAGGGATAGCATGATTCAATCAGCTATCTCTTCTACAATCACACCTCCCTCTGGGTAAACTTCTATGTGATCTCTGCCATCACTGTCCGACGACAGAAGAGAACGAGACATAGCATGATTCAATCAGCTATCTCTTCTACAATCACACCTCCCTCTGGGTAAACTTCTATGTGATCTCTGCCATCACTGTCCTGTGCATGTGGACAACATGACAGTGCATGATTCTATTGACAATGTCTGCTACAATAACACCTCAATGACAGCCAAGCCGATGAGAGTTCTTCCAACCCGATGAACTTGTGCACACATGCGATGAGTTCCAACCAAAGGATAATTTGTTGCTATTAAAAAAAAAATGCCCGCAAGCTCTTGTTTCCTCTACTAGCGGATACTCCAGGTCTGATTGAGGGTATACTTTTGTTTATCCATGCGCCATGCTCCATGAGTTACATGCTCATATGCAGCCTTAGTTGGTTGAAGAACCTTAGTCTTACCTGGGGATAGGCAGTTGAAGCTGGTGTAGGCGCTGGTGACAACACAAAGCGCAGATGATGAGCTCCGGCATCATTATTATCAACATCAACAAGAACTTCACGCCAACCTTTCTGTGTTCTCTGTTGAAATATAACATAAACTTCAGCCAAGCAGTGTCTTCTCAACACAACAAAAGTACTAGTTTGAAGAATGACACCAGAAGACAAAATTGTTTGTGTCAGGCATTCTTTGACACATTGACTGCCACGCATAATTTCACAGGGCGTTCACATTTGCCAAGCGCTGTACGCATGTGCACATATTTAACAAATACCTTCACTTGTCTGTTTGAACGGGAGCATTTTACAGATGTATGTCCCCCACACTGTCAGCAGCGTATTTGTTGAGTTCTTCTGTGATGCCAGTGTATTCAATTTACAATACAAAAGCCTTTCATTTCCAACAAGTATACTTGTAGTGGCAGAATCCGGTTTACTTGTTACTACAAGTTTACTTGTAGTCAGCAATCAATGTGTTCAGGTCATAAGGGGACTTTTAAGATCAACTTAAACATAAACTAGTTTACTTCAGGATATAATAAACTCTTGAAAAGCTCAGACCTTTTTAGTTCTCACAGGCCGGCCAGGGGAATTGATATCAATTAACATAAAATGATTTTGACTTGCATTCCATTTTTCAGTAGTCTTAGTATTAATGACAAAACAAAATACGTGTACTGAGATTAATTTTTTTTCCAAGGGGACTACATATACATAAAAGCAATCTTTACCTGGAATTTATGAACTGGCAAGGCATCAAAGAATTCGTGAGCAATAAAACAGGTGGGTCCTAGCATAGAAATAAACCACATATCATCATCACAATGAGTGTCACGAAGAAAAACCAGGCTCACACAATCTGCTCCGAGCCCAACAAAAGAGGGTGGGTTTTTTGGTACTCACCACGTAGGCACGCTTTAAATGGAGATCAATGGCACGTTTGACACAGGGCACGCTGAGTACGCATAACAAATTTATTCCTTAATGTATATCTTTGCATACATGCAGAAAGTGAGCAAGAACCCGCTTGGAAAACTTACAACCACCTATCTTTCTTTTGCCACTTGGGGGTACACTCGGGGCGGACCGAAAAAATCCAAACTGGGTTCACAAGGGCTGAACCTCTTTCCACGAAAGTAACAAAAACGTCCTGGTCGTGAAACTAAAAAGTTGTAGATGTGCTCTGCTATAAGGCTCAAGGCTGCATTGAAGCGACTGATATTACACCATAGTAGGCAGCACATGGACCATTCTAGACCCATGTAATAACAGTATCCAAAGCAAACTTTAACAAGTTGAATTATCAAATATGGATCCTCTTGAGGAAATAACTGCTTACAGTACACCTCCTGAATAATTTAATCCCAAAGGATGGTTAGGTTCAAGGTTAATTATCTGACTCTTCGGACATTTCAGTAACAACCTTTCACCTTTCGGTACATCCTTGAGACTCCGGTACCATGCTACAGGCACTCCTGTCTTGCTGATGCTGGTTTTGTAGGCTGATGGTGGGCTCTTCTCCTCACCTAGACCTCCTTCATCTCTTCTAGCGAGAGAGTCCTGGCTGACTGCAGGTTGGCCTGGGTCTGTTGTTGATTGCTGCTGACCCGTAAGTTTCTCCTCTTGGAGTTGGCTCATCTTAGGGCTGACCTCCACCAGGTGGAGCGACAAGGAATTGCCAATGACTTGTTGAAACTGCTTGAACACCTTCAAAATGATCACAAATGACAGGATTCAACTCCTGATACAAGTACATGTAAGGTCTGAAAGCCCATTTTAGACAAACCTTACACCCTACGGTACGGTGAAATTCAAGATTATAGCCTGGAAAACAGTACAGAGGCAGCACCACTCTTCAAAGGAAGTCACACTGACACATACTTAAAAAGCAAGAAAAACATCCATTTCTTTGACACTAGTTGTAGGAATAGCACTGGCGTGTGCATGACCTGGGCACAAGTGTGATTCAACCTCAATGCTTCTCACATTGGTCATCCAATTGTCTACGGAATCTCACCCGTAACATGTCGTCAGCTAACGTCCCTCTACCTGGGCCAAGTTCCACAACCTGTAAGGGTGTTTTCCAGCCCGACTGTGTCCACTCATGGATGACCCACAGAGCAATCAACTGCAGAAACAAACGGCACTTACTGAGAAGGAGTGCCAGTAATAACAAGCCAGACTGTCAGCTTGCCTTGAGCACACTGGTACAAAGAAAATACATGTCTGAAAAAAAGTGAAATTGTGAAGAAGCATACAAGAACCAGAGAAGTCTCTCTGTGTAAATTGCTTAGTACTCTTCTTTCAAAGAGCACCTTCTTCTGTTCACACAAGATTACACCCTTTCACTTCCGAGCTACATGCTGGTCTGAAAACACGAGTCTTTACCTGTTGCAAATATATGGGCACGAGCCAACAACCGTCACAACCATGTCTCTGGAAGCCAGTCTTTAAATGAACACTACCCTTTCCCCTGATTGACACATTTGCTGAATATCCTTGATGTTCAGACAGTTTTTGTAACGTATAAGGTGTGCTAAGTTTATGTTAATTTGTCCATTCCAATGTCAATGTCATAATATTTCAGATGAGCATGTTGCTCTCCAGAATGAATGATTAGGTGGTGACTTTGGCAATAATTCCCAAATTCACTGTACATACGACAGCTTAGCCACTCCTGTTGGTTAAAAGCCTATCTTAAACATTTGAAAATGCCACCTCAAGCAGAATGTGCCAAGCATGCACCAATCTCCACATAAGGAAATTGGGACTATTCTCAAGAGAACATACCACAAAACGGGTGGAGGGGTATTTAAAACAAAACTAAAAATGTCGAACAAAATCCTTTGAAATTCAGAATTTTTAAACTTGTCTTATTTTGCTGATTTTGTGATTCCAAACAAATTCATGAATGGGAATAAATATTCAGCTTGGGCATTGTCAGCATCCATGGAGAATGGACACAACGCATCATCAGCATCCATTCTTCTGAGAATTTTACAGGTTGGTCTAAATTTGGCAAAGCATGATTTATTCCCATTCCCATTCAAATAACTTCTAAATCAGTTAAACAAGCTTTAAAATAAAAAAAACAACAAATTTCCAATGACTTTGTCCACCAATTTTATTTCATCTTTTTTAAAAACACCCCTCTAGCCATGTTATGGTATGCTCCTCTTGCAAGTAGCCGTTAATAAATGCCCTCAAATGAGAATGGCACACACATGGTGCATCCTGTGTGAGGTGGCACAAAGCTAGCCCCTGCTTTATCAACTGCTTAAAACTGGCCATGTCTCACAACTAAACTACTAGAAGGAATGACCAAACTGTCTGCACATTTACAAATATGGAATAAATGCAATACTCACCTCACCAAACATTTGGCTTATCTCAGGTGATGTGATAAAATCTCCTTTAGTGCCAAAAACATCTTTATTCATGTAGTAACCCTTAGAGAGGAAAAAAACAGTAAAGTGTAATATTGCATGAAAGATGACCGACATAAAGTATTTCACAGGTGTTTCATTGATGCCTGGGGAAATTTCAAATTTTGCTCTAACAATGTGTTGACCTTGGTTCAAAACCAGTTAGCAAAATTTCTGTACAAACATCAAACCCACCGACATGGCACATTTTACAATAATCGACTCTTCTGGCACTACTCTACAATTCCAAAGGTTTCATGTGACATCACCACCAACAACCCTTGCAACCAAGCAAAACACCTCATGGCCACGCCAGGGTAACCAAGACTTGACCTTTGCTCACTCAAGGAGGCTGGCTCCCACTTACAGTGACTGGATTGGTCAGAACCTCTCTCATATACTCAGCAACAGTCAAAGGTCCTGTGGTCTGAATGCATCGTCTCAGATGTTTGACTCCAATGGTTTCAGCACTCTTTGTAGAAGCCCACCTCTGATTAGTTTGATGCAACAACCTACGGTAGGCTAAGGTATGAAAGTCAACAGGCATAATGGAAAAGGCAATTAGTCTTGCAACTTTTACACAACCAAGCCATTTAAAAATAGAGACTTTTGAGCAGGATACAAAACACAGGGCTTCACAGAGTAAACTGTATAATGAGTGCATGTGCATGTGCATTGTAATAACAGTGAGGTACATCAGACGCGATAGGTGCATTTGGAATTTGGCGTGTTTAAAAAGACTCAACATTGAGACAATACTACACTAATTAAAAAATGTATGCTACATTTCAAATTACTCATTCAGGAGGAACATTCACACTGTATCATCAGGAGAATTACTCATGAAATATAAAACTGGAGACTAGAAAAAGCAATGAACACCAAAAACAATGGGAAACACTTTACATGTACATCCAAAAACTGATCATCTCCAAAATGATGCAGATTCTGTTTAGATTACATGTATGTGTAATGGGAGACTCTGAGATGTTTCATGGCGGCAGATAAACTGGTCCTTACTGCCTGTTCTGGGCACGCGCACATAGTTCTGAGCATGCACACTACAGTGGAAAAAGACCGCTCTGTCTACTGCGTCCAAGCACCTCAACGCCCTGCATTAAACATTCAACTGACCATTTTTTCTGGTGTTGTAGCTTCTGATGATCATTTGACCAGCACAGGTACAAACTCTGGAGGCATCAGCTGGGATGGAGGCCATAATTTAAAGTAACAGAAGTGCACATGCGCCACTCTGACAGTATCTGCTTAGCATCAATGATCTGGATAATCCTGGTATAACATGAACATGGAAAACAGTAGATGAATTCGGCCTTGATTCCCTAAATTTATATGTAGGCCTACCAGTACCCAATAATTCATTTTAATTTATTATTTACTGCACATGTAAACTTCGTCCACGACGACACTTGTCTAGTAATAAGTTACAGTTATCCAACATTTTAACATGCTCTGGGTACTCAGTCATATTAAAACTAATGTAGACAAAATGTGTAATAACTTAAGCAAATTAAAGATGTCTTGATAGAAACATCCAAATTCCATGAGTTCAAACATTGAGCCCCCTCTCCATCGCCATTGTAACTTTTGTGATGAAGCAGCGAATGTCAGAGTATCATTTACAAATGTTTACTCCAGCTTTTCTTCTGAGGTTAATAACTCTGTATGGCATGACACTAGAACAAAAGAAGTATACTGGTACACCATTTACAATACTGCTCTACGCAGCGGCTGGAGAAAAGACGCGCAATGCAGATATTATTATATTATAATGCAACGACCAACCTTGCCAAGCTATAAATCTACAGTCTGACAATGCTAAGAAAGAAATGAAAAGTACTGATCCATTTACACATAATATAATCTCTTTATAGTAACTGGAATTTACATGCAGTGGTGTTAGTCCCAGTAAGTACATCATGATGACCGGACATCATCGACGGAATAATTCTGCATGCCCTGCTGATCTCGACGAGTATTACGCGTACCGCACTAGCGAGTGCAGTCGGTGCGGCCGGTTGTGTTGACGTAATTATGCATGTTCAGATCATGTTGGTCCGATCCGGTGCATGCACACTGCAGCCGGTGGTCAAACTTTACCTGGCTCACACCAGGTGTGCCGTCGATTTCATTTATTCGAATAATGTGAAGAAAGATTCGATTATTTTGCAATATACCACTATCAAAACACGCAAGGTTTCGAACATAATCGATACTTGCTAGTCGATGCCACAAGGCCGATGTTGCAAACATGCAAGCGCAGCTTTGCATGCATGGCAATCGCTCCTGACAAGCAATTGGAATGGCGTCGAAGGCTTTCTGTGATGATTGCAGCCTCACGAGACAGGTCGGTGTTTCCCTAGTTTTTACCGATAATACGTCATGTTAGTGTGGCTATACTTTGTTCAGACACCTTTGTCGTAACTTTAAGCGGAGAATGGCTGGTTCTTCTTTCCCGAAGTTCGTTAGCGAGCAAGCAATAACTGGCAACCCGTTACTCTGTAAACGACTATTCAGACAACACATCAGCAAAGCGAAAAGTCTGCACAGCCGAAATCTTGTAGGCCACTATGGCTGTGTGAATGCCATAGAATTCAGCAACAATGGTGGACACTTGCTTGCTTCAGGTAAGTTAATATGTCCAGGCCTAACTGTACATTTGTAGTAAAGTGAACGGGAATAATGGGCATGCTTTGCCAATTTTAGTTTAGACCTGCATTATACCGGTGTTACTCCCCAACTAATACTAGTAATAGCATACATGTAAGTCCCAACTATAGTTGGGCTCGTCCCAACTGTAGTGCTGCAGTTGGGCTGGCCCAACTATTGTTGACCAATGTCTGTGGGAACATTATCCAAGTCGATGTGTCTCACACGTGACACAATTCATCTAAAATGGGGCACTTCATCTTTTCATCTAGCCCT